GGAAGGAAGTCATAGATAATCAGGGAAAATACATTGTTGATTGAATCTGTAATTAAATTTAACATTTGGTCACTTGTTTTCTTTATTCAATATTCAGACAGAACTTATGAGATGACCTGATATTTTGTTACAAAGTCTTGAGATAGATGGTCTTCTACTGAAGAGTGAGGTTCTAGATCATCTTGTTATGTAGAAAGATTGTCTAACCTTATCTAAAACCTATTACAGAAACATGGACTCGTCCATCTGCTATGAGTAGACGCCTGCTCATGGAACAGTCGGAAAAATGGTGGGTCGCAACGGCGTAGCGCTTTGCAGTCGTACGGTTGTTGCCCTGAACTTCTCCATTCTAAATCCATGTCCTCATGTGATTAAACCCTTCACTCAACCTTTTGTCCCCCGGGTTTTCTTTAGTCTTACTAACCAGCGACTATGTGCGCTAGACGATCTTTATAATACATGGAAGATTGATAATCAAAATTTTTTCAGATTAACTTAAATTAAATTTCAGATTATTCAAAAAAAAGTTTTAATAGCAGTCAGTACTGGGTAGATGTGTTTAAATAGATATCACTACAATGAAATGGACAAAGGGAAAAACTATTATTAAATAAGTCTTAAAATAATTACCGGACTTTGTCCAGTTCATAATGTGTGACGTCATTTGTTTACATTTGGATACGCATCGAGCAGATATGAATGTACGAGAGAAAATCATGGAGAATTGAAGTTTAAAAACAGTAAAATCGACCTTGCTAGCCGAAACGCTCCTCTATGGCCCAATCGGTAAAAGCACGTCAGGCTATATGACGTTTCCGTATAGGATACAGGTTCGATTCCTGTCGGAGGACGCATATTTTCTATGATAATTTCTCGGACATTCAGGACGGTTAATGTTATTTATATTGTTTATTATAAACAGAGCATTTACTTCAATATTTGTATCTATAAAAAGAACGTATAAACCTAAAAATGTCTTAAAATATTACTGTTTATTTAAAATTAAAATTGATCAGCCGAGGGACCTTTTCTATGTCACGCTTAATTCTCGAAATTCGAAATCTGGATATTGTGTTGAAATACTGTCTAACCTTCTATACACTCATTATTGAAACAAATTTTTTTGGGCGTCCATTTTTAGTATAAACGCCTGCTCATGAAACAAGTGGATCTCAAAAGGCGTAGCGCTTTGCGGTCACCCTGAACAACACTTATTCTCAGTCCTTGTCCTCACGTGAATATTCCCTTCTTCACTCAACCTTTTGTTGCCGTCGTTTTCCTTACAGCCTTACTAACGAGCAACTATGAGCGTTAGACGAACTTTATAAAAGATTTGTTTTTTGAATTGCTGAAAAGCTCAGCGATTATGTTACCACTAGGCTACCGTATCATTTGGTCGTAAAAACGCGCCGAAAATAAAATAAAGATTTCGCTGTCTTATCTTTGTAAACAGAATGTGAGTTATTTTTCGTTTCGTCTCTTATGTTTTCGCTCCACCCTTTTTTTTTCTCTCGTTTTTTATTTATTTTTATGCTTTTAATAATCGCTTTCTGGTCAGTCCGTAGCCGGTGTGTCTACGAATTATGAATCATAGCCTGATTCTATAATAACAAGAATCGACAGTTTTCTCATCCCAAGTATATAAAATAGATCTTTTTAAAGTCACGTATGGCGTTTCTTCTTCCTTTTTTTTTCTTTAAGGGTAAGAATGGCGTAATGGTTGTTTTGAAAATGGAAACGGGTAAAATGAGTTTCGAATTCCGGCTTAGAAAAATGCTCTTGGGAAAGGCATGAACGGATTTTTCCCTGAACTTGGATATAGCTAATTCGTAGAGTAGCTGAAGATCTTTTACCCTGGCAAATAGTCCGTCTTGGACTGAAAAAAAAAAAAAAAAGAAAACGGAAAAATGTTATAGAAAAGAATTTGGTGAAAAAAGAGGAAGAAATATTAAGAAGTTAGAGAATGAAAAAATAGGATGAAAATCTAAAGAAAAAGAAGAGAAGGCGATGAAAAAGCGGGTGAAGAAACGGAATAAAATAAAGAAGGAAAAAAGCGATGAAAAAAGTAGAAAATATGATGAAGAAGAAATAGAAAAGACAGTGAAAAAAAAAGAGGGAGAAACAGTAAAAATTGAAGAAGGAAGAAAGACAAAGAAAAAACTGTAAAGATTTTGGTTGATTCGTTTTTTACGCGTTATCATCCCTTTCTAGGTTATTTAAAGCCAGAAATGTTTTTTTTTTTAGATTGTAAGAATTTAATTTTTTAGAGATAATAATTGTTTAGTAATACAATTTTTTTTACTAATTAACCCATAGCTGTGGGAAGGAGACATAGAATCCAAGAGTATTTGCGCGTATGTGAATATAACGAACCCAACTGGAATTGGAACCCTGTGTTCAGATTAACAAAATCGAGCCATTATTACTTACACTACCCGCACATCAAAGCTTACAGCACCTGCTGATTTGTTCTGGTGGCGGCCTTCCCCATTCTCCCCAAAGAGTTTTCAAGAATAAAACCACTTACATGTTTTGCTATTTCAAAATTTTCCTGTTTCTTAATTTCCTGTTACTTAGCTTTGGGAAGACCTCTTTCGCTATTCGCCTTCGGATTTTGTCTCACATTTTTCTTTTTGTATACACCGTTAAATTACTTCTTGATATTTAATGTTTTGAGATTTGTTCTTGGCATCTCAATTCGTAGTTTTCACATTTCAATCTTTTTCCTTTTTGTTTCTATCATACATTCCGTAGGAAATTAAAAATTTCAATTAAATGCTTAGTAAAAAAAATCTTTTTTCTTTCTACTATCATCTCTAAAAGTTACTATGCTTATTTATTTTCAACTTGCCTTTGGTGTAATGGTTGTTGGTCAAGTTTGTCTTGCTAGAACAATTACGACTGATTGGGTGAGTTCTATCCTCACTGGATGCCCCTACTTTCGGAAGCCACATCTAAATGTTTAAGCTTGAAAAATCATTGGACACCTTCTTCTTGGTGTAATGGTTAGCAAGTTTTCTCTAGAACAATTTACGACTGAATGGTGAGTTCTATATATATCATATTTTTTTACTTTTCGGCCTTGTGCCACATCTAAGCCATTCTTGGAAAATCACTATGGGTTTTTCCAGGTGGTGTAATTTGAGAAAATAAACCATTGCTAGATCTTTACATTACGAAATGTTTAGAGTTCGATTTATATTGGGTAGGTATATACTATATAAAAGGAATCCACATCTAAGCCGGGCTTAGAAAATCAGTATTATGGTTTTTTCTTTCTATGTCTGCTATCAACACTGTATCATCTTCATATGTTGTTAAGATTGTGTTCTCCAATAATAAATCCCGATAGGACCCCTAATTCTTTTACTGTAAAGATTGAATAACTCCGGCGAAAAAAAAAATTATCCTTCTCTTTTTCCCCTTTCTATTTCTGTGTATCTGCTGGATTTATATTCTATCCTTATGCAGTATAAGTTTTGAATTATTCTAATATATTTCCCAAATAAATCAAGCTGACCTGGCAGTTCAAATAGTTCTTGGTGTTGTACTTTGTCAATATCGGATTTTCCGATTAATTTTCTGTTTCCTTTAGCAGAGTTATCGACAAAGGAAAACTTCACAGACGATGGGCTTATGGCCAAATCACGTTGAAACACTTGTTCTCGTATGATCAACGTCGAGCCAGATCAGTACTTAGTTAGGTGACCGCTTAGGAATGCCAAGTGCTGTAGGGTTGGATGTGCGGGTGGTGTAATGGATAACCGCACGGGATGGGAAATCGGTGGGGGTTGAGTGGGTCTGCGAACATAATGAGAAGAGTGATGGCGGCTTGAAAAGATAGATTGTGATAAACATGAAAAAAAAAAAGAAAAAGAAAAGAGAATGAAGAAGGAGAAGAAGAGAGATGATAAAGTCAAGAGGAAAAGGTGAGGACAAAGAAAAAAACGGATGAAACAGTACGATGCAATGAAGAAGAAAAAGAGGGGGTGATGAAGTGGAAGAGGAGGAAACAGTGTAGAATAAAGATGGAAAAGAGACGATGAAAAGAAAAAAGAAATAACAAGCTTTAAAGAAGGAAAAAAGAAGGCGATAAAAAGAGGAAGAAACAGTAAAAATTAAAGAATGAAAAACAAAGAAACAAAAAAAAATACGGTGAAGTAAAAGAAGAAAGTGTAAAGAGGAGGAAGAGAAAGCCATAAAGAAGAGGAGGAACAAAGAGAATAAAATAAAGAAGGAAAAAAGCGATGAAAAAAGTAGAAAAATATGAAGAAGAAGAAGAAGAAGAAGAAGAAGAAAAGATGGCGAAGAAAAAAGTAGAAAATATGAAGGAGAAAAGACGACGAAGAAAAAACTAGAAAGTATGAAGAAGAAGAGGAAAAGACGGTGAAGAAATTAGTAGAAAATATGAAGAAGAAGAAGAAGAAGAAGAAAAGATGGCGAAGAAGAAAGTAGAAAATATGAAGGAGAAAAGACGACGAAGAAAAAAGTAGAAAGTATGAAGAAGAAGAGGAAAAGACGGTGAAGAAAAGAGGGAGAAACAGTATAAGTTAAAAAAAAAGGAAGAAAGAAAAAGAAGAAAAAGAAGAAAGATTTTGGTCGATCCGTTTTCTACGGTTTATCAACCCTTTCCATGTTATTTAAAGCCAGAATTGTTTTTTTTTTAGATTATAAGAATTTTAATTTTTTGAGATAATAATTAATTAGTGATAAAAGTCTTTTACTAATTAACCCATAGCTGGGAAGGAGAAAACATAGATTCATATCCCAAGGGTATTTACGCGTATGTGAATATAACGAAACCAATTGGAAGTGGAACACGGCGTTCAGATTAACAATTACGAGCCATTATCCATTACACCACCCTCACATCCAAGACCTGCTATGGCTAAGGGGTCACCCATCTAGGTAACGACGTTGCTTAACTTCGATAATCATACTACAACCGGTGTTTCAACGGGATGCGGCCGTAAGCTCATTAAACCAACCGCACAACCAAGCTTACAGCACCTGGCATTTCCAAGAGGTCACCCATCTACATACTGACCAGGCTTGACGTTGCTTAACATTGGTGTTCGTACGAGAATTGTTGTTTCAACGTGGTATGGCCGCAAGAATATTGCACCACTCGCACAGACAAGCTTACAGCACCTGGTATTCCCAAGAAGTCACCCATCTACATACTGACCAGGCTTGACGTTGCTTAACTTCGGTGTTCGTACGAGAATCGGTGTTACAACGGGATCACCCATCTAAAGTCCTGACCCGGCTCGACGTTGCTTAACTTCGGTGTTCGTACGAGAATCGGTGTTTCAAAGGGATCACCCATCTATAGTCCTGACCCGGCTCGACGTTGCTAACTTCGGTGTTCGTACGAGAATCGGTGTTTCAAAGGGATCACCCATCTATAGTCCTGACCCGGCTCGACGTTGCTTAACTTCGGTGTTCAAAAGAAAACGAGAATCGGTTGTTAGTAAACAGGGATCACCCATCTAAAGTCCTGACCCGGCTCGACGTTGCTTAACTTCGGTATTCGTATGAGAATCGGTATTTCAACGGGAATCGGAATCCATCTATAGTCCTGACCCGGCAATTGACGTTGCTTTATTCGGTTCGGTGAATTCGTACGAGAACGTTGCTTAATCAAAAAAGAAAATTTACAAGGGGATCACCCATCTAAAGTCCTGACCCGGCTCGACGTTACTTAACTTCGGTGTTCGTACGAGAATCGGTGTTTCAACGGGATCACCCATCTATAGTCCTGATCTGGCTCGACGTTGCTTAACTTCGGTGTTCGTACGAGAATCAGTGTTTCAACGGGATCACCCATCTATAGTCCTGACCCGGCTCGACGTTGCTTAACTTCGGTGTTCGTACGATAAACGGGTTTTCAACGTGATGTGGCCGTAAGCATATTACACCACCCGCACATCCAAGCTTACAGAAGCAAAAGAAGAGAAGGCGAAGAAAAAAGGGTGGGAGAAAGTGTAAAAATCAAAGAGGGGAGAAAAAAAAAACGAAAGAAGAGAAAGGCGAAGATGTAAAGAAGAACAATACAAAGATGGCGATGAAGAGGAAAAGGAAGTGGACAATGAAGACAAAGATGAAACAATATAGAAAAGAAAAGAGAGAGAGAGAGAGAGAGAGAGGGGGGAGGGAAAGAGACGAAGAAAGCGAAGGAAATATAAGTAAAGGATTTATAATTGACAAACGTTCCAAACTCAGTCTGGCTGACGACGTTGCTATATTCCGAAGAATTTCCTCGGTAATCTTGGAATTAGCAAATCCTGATGTTTATAAATGACAAAAGAATTACTTTTTCGGTGGAAGGCAAACAGTTTCCGGGAAGAGCCTGGATCCTCGCTCCTTAAGCACAGCAGGCGGCCGGAGGGAGGAGGTTTAAACGACAGAAGCGACAACGCGGTTTACAGAAATATCTTATTAATAAGCCACCAAATGCTGGTTGATTTTAAGACTCAATCAAAACTTGCTGGGTCATTGAGTACCGATTTTCATATCGGGCCCCTCGGCCGGATCGAACTCACTATTCAGTTGCAATGGACGACCAGACGTAACTTGATGAGACGGGTTTTACACGCTGACGCTACGAATTTAGCACCGCCACACCCCCCCACATATACGCCCACATACACACATACAAACAGTTCTTGGGAAAAATGCTGAGTTGAAAGGAGTTGAACTTTCTCATTAAATTTTGGAATACGGGGGAAATGAGTTTGCTTCGACTCCGGGGAAGTAGCATGCCTTGTCCAAGAAGTAAAAGTCTGAAATGGAGATGAACAGCGTTCATTTTGACATTGGCCTGCGGGAAAGCAACTGCAGAGTGAAGATTTTGAACTCTATCAAGATTGGAAAATGAAGATTGTGCAGCTCCAGCACAGATATGACAGCAATAAACAATTTTTCGGTCTAGTCTGATTCTTGTAAAAAGTTTTTAGGTAGGGAAGCCAGGTGACTAAATACCATTTGTAAGGTGACTGCCCTTGGGATGAGGAACTATCCTCATGATAACAGAATTATCCTTAGCATAATGAAACTGTCCTCATGGTAACTATTTTTTCAGGACAACAGATATATATATATATATATATATATATATATATATATATATATATATATATATATATATATATATATAAAATCCATGTCGGTTATAAATTATTTCATGAATATTTTTATATTCATCCCTTCCAGACAGAACGTTTTTTTTAGAAATGGAATCATTTCAACACTTTTTTGGATTAATGTCCGACTTTGAATTTCTACCAATCGTAATTTGTTTATATATATATATATATATATATATATATATATATATATATATATATATATATATATATATATATAAGATGATAAAGGAGCCAGGCAATAAATATATATTTGAATGTAAATTCTAGTGAAGTCATATGCCGTAGAGAAATTTTCGGTGGAAGTGTCATGCTAATGAGGAGCATTATTTGAGTTTCAATAATTTTAAGTAATTTTCTTATTTTATATATATATATATATATATATATATATTCACATGTATCGATATTCACATGGATAAATATAAGTGTGTGTGTGTATATATATATATATATATATATATATACACACACTTATATAACTTATAGCTATGGAATATTAGTTTGTTTGAATATTTAAATATATATATATATATATATATATATATATATATATATATATAGTGTTTGAAATTTTAATATATATATATATATATATATTTAAATTTCAAACACTAATATTCCATAGTTATAATTTATTACATTATAAAAAATCACGGTCCAATTCATCAGACCTATATATACAAAAATTTTGGATATATATATATAATATATATATATATATATATATATATATATATATATATATAAAGGCTCAATACTTTGAGTTATTCAGCTAGAAAGTGAACAGGTTAAAACTTTTTTGTCATTCGCACAGCCTTCCCAAATGAGAAATGTTGAGAGGAAAAAGATCATTCAGACCTTTAGTAACGGTACCAACATTCATACTTTGGCTTGCATCATCAAAGTCCATTCAAGAATCAGCAAGAGAAAGGTGTATAACTATAAAAAAGAGTGAACGTTAGAGAGGAAAACTGGATCAGGAGGTCACAGCAGGAAGAGGTATCTTAGAGCTAAAGAGATCAATTAGAAAAGATCCAACTCTATCCATAAGACGTTTGGCACGTGAGAGAGAGGAGTTTCAGCTATGACAGTTCAAAGGGGAATGAAAAAAACTTGAAAATGAAATCGTACATAAAACCTGTGAGACAACTTGTTACTCCAGGACAGAAAGTTAGAAGATCAGACAGGGGAAAGATCATCTTGAATAAGTTTGAAAATGATCCTGAAATATATATATATATATATATATATATATATATATATATATATATATATATATATATATTTGAACTTATTTTCAATCCTTCATTAGCTATATGATACTTAGCTATGATTAATTAATGATGAACATGTCATTTTCGTTTATGATCGATTTTATCACAATTCTTCTGTTAAGCTTGAGGAGTAATTATACATTCTTATTGCTCAATGTAGAGTCCAATAGTGTTATAAAACCACGGAGAATTCCAGTAAGATATCTTTAATCATTTTTAAGATGCAACGGTTCAACGCTTAATATAAGAATTGGACAATTTTGTTTTATACCTGATATATTTGGGGTATATATATATATATATATATATATATATATATATATATATATATATATATATATAGAGAGAGAGAGAGAGAGAGAAGATATATATATATATATATATATAATTCAGACAGTTAAGTACCTGTTGAAACTTGGATAAGCATGGAATAATAATAATACAACACAAAATGTACGTAAACAAAATGTATTGAAACAAGGAAAAGGTACACAATATTTACAGTTAGTTTTGGTATATTCTTGGGAAGACTGTTCCTGCAGAATGGGTTGACTAAATCGCAGTCGGGCAGAGTCTCTCGATTGGATCTCTTAATCTTCTACTATCTTCCGGTACCAACCCATATTTATATGGTCGGTACTCCACTTATGTAAATTAGGTGGATCGTACCACAACAGTTCCAAAAATTCCTTAATAAACCGTTTGGGAATTTAATGTATTTTTTAATACATTGAAATATTTATTGACGAGGTGGTTATAAATAAATTTATATAAATATATATGAATATATAACCATTATGTAAAAACCTACTCTGTCCTACTATTTAACTCATAGCAAGGAGAAGAGATGAATTCTTACCTACCCCAAGGCTATTTGTGCGTAAGTGAATCTAATGAATATGACTGGAATTCGAATTCGACTCTTCGAGTTTTCACTCCGAGCCGATATCCATTACGTAACAACGCACAATTAGATGACGTTAAAGCAAAATACCTTGACATTAAATATAGGATACATGGTGAAAAGGTTGTTATAAATAAAAAAAAAGAAACAGAAAATTCATTTCATATTGAAACCCCATTTAACCAAATAGTTAGTACTAAGTTAGGATAGAAGTTTCTCAATTTAATTGATAAACACTTCCCTAGTAATGATCCTCTTAGTAAGATTTTTAAATAAAAAATACACTTAAATTAAGCTATAGCTGTACAGATAACCTTGAAAAGATGATTAAAAATGCAATGATAAATTTTAAATAAACACTAAACCTAATTAACAATAGCCATCCCAAAATGCAGTTAACAATAAACCAATTTCTGTGCATTCAAATAGAAACAAAACGACTGGAAATAAACAAAAAAAAATTTTTTTAATTGAATATATTTATATAGATAAATTAAATATAAATTTTTTATATATAAGTAATATTTAAAAATTTTTAAAAATATTCGGTTAATCAATATTTTATCATCTTCCAACAACAATTTTATTAAATAACAGAACGTCCCTTTCTATTTATTTTTGGAAAATCCTACGAAAAAACGGAAAAATATTAAAAATAACTAGAACCTGTAAAGCTAGTTTACACGATCCATGTCCCTATGTTGAAAAAAGAAAAAAGATGTTAAATTTCCTAAAAAATTAAAAAAAAAAGGATGATAAAAAAGAAATGAATTTCAAAAAAGAAA